ACTCGCAGGGCTGCGGGAGCACCGGGCGCCACGGACATGCTGCCGTCCACCAGCAGTTCCCGGGGACCCTGCTGGGAACCACCAGTGCGCCGAGAAAGCACCGAGCCCTGGAAAGCAAGGGAGCGGGAATGCGCAGCGCCTCGGGAACACCGCCCACGGCCGGAACCTGCTCGTCACGGACGCTGGGAAATGCGGCCGGGCCAGGGAGCTCGCCTTCCTCCCCGGCACCCATGTACCCCGGCTCTCGCAGGTACTGACTGGACCCAGCTGGGCCTGCTCCCGAGCGCCCCAATCCTGGTGGCAGTACCTTGAACCCGTCTCTTCACGGATACTTCCAATCACGTGTTTGTTTTCACCAGAGTGTGCGCTCGCCAGCGAGTCGGGGTAGGGGGTGAGAAATCGCCCCCAGGGAGATGGCCATGCCACAACCCTTCTCTGTGCTCCTGGGATTCTGAGCACATGGGCCCAGTGTGAGTCTCAAGCGGCCAAGTCCAAGCTTGAACCGCGGTCAACCACACGGGAGTCGTGTCTTCACCACGCCATCTGCTCCCCCCATTACTTCTTTAGGAAGGTTCCGAGTCACAGAACTTTTCTAAGGAGACCTTTACAAAGTTCTCAGTACAAAGTCAAGAAAGGTTCCAGAAGGCTCAAAGGTTCGAAGGCGCTATAGCGAGGGGCGCCTGCGCCGTGCTCCCCCGCCCGCCCCCGCTGTGACAGGCCGCAGCCGTCGGGCCTTTCCTGACGGTTTCTGGACCGACGGGCACGTCCACAGGATTCACACTCATCACCACGTGCTGTATCACAGACGTCCCTGGGGGCCCCTGCACCATCCTCCTCCCGGAGGAGCCGAGTTCATGGGGATTTGTTGACATCTTATGCTTGATTCTGTTTTCTTAGAAATTCTGATGACGTAGAACTGAGCAGTCACTCAGCCAGACGTCAGGATGAGGGATGCTCCCTCTCAGGGTAAAGGCCGGACCCTAACCCAGCAGGCGAAGACGCCAGAACTGTGCCCTGCACCAACAGCCCCCCAAGCAGGTCCCCCACCCCTGTCCTCCTGAGAACACCGGAGCCCAAGCTCTCGTCCAGGTCTGAGGGTGGGTGTGACATGCTGCTGCTCACGTTCCCACAGAGCAGAGGCATTTCCACCTTGGCCCCAGGGACGCTGCCCCACCCCAAGCCAGGAGGAGCAAGGACATGGTCATCTGGGGAAGGACGGGGCACCCCGTGAGGCCCCCCATGGCTTCCCACTGCCGGGAGGGCAGGCCCTGGCCCCGCACTGCCTGCCATGGGGAGCCTCACGCCCTGGCAGCTGGGACAGCAACGTGTTAGGACACATAACATCCCCTGCCCCTTAGTGGCAGCATCACAGATGTGACTCGCATTAAAAGCCATGGCCCAGGGACCAGCAGATGACATAGCAGTTATGTTGCTAGACTCCCACATGACCAACCATGGTTCGAGTCCTGGACCTGGTGGCTTGAAAATCCCGCTGGGTGTGTGTGTGTGCATCCTTAAGATCCCAGGAGAATGGTAGAGAACGGATTGCAGCATGGCTACTCCCCTGGGGGGATGAGTCCTCACTTTCCCTCTCACTGTCTCTGCCTCTTTCTCCTGCCCTAAGGCAAAAACTCCCCACCCCACCCCCAAAAACACCCTCGGCCCATTCCCATCAACCACTACTGGTTTTCTGAAGCTCAATGGGCCCCACCTGGCCATGCCCAGGGCTTTGGCCTCCTCCAAGCAGGCCTCCTGCATGCTCCCTGCAACCCCCAGGGTGGTTCCAAAAGCATCTCCGCTTTTGACAACAAGGTGGCAGCTCCATTTCTACCTCAGTGAGGGGGTCTCTACCAGGCTGATGCTGGTGCTGGGACTCCCCGCTCTCTGCAGGGACAGCCCAAGGGACACGGTTTGCCCCCCACCCACCTGCACTTCTCCGGGTGCTCGTCGCGCTTGTTGTTGAAGTCCAGGGAGATCTTGGCGTCCAGGCCGATGCCGAAGTAGTTGTTCATGACACACTTCTCGGTGTAGCACTCCCTGCGAAGGCACCAGGCACCGATCCACTGCCTGCCCCAGGGCCTGCCTCCAGTCCCCACCCCTCCTGATCCTCCCAAGGGGCACCTTTCCCTTGTTTTCCTGGTTGTGGTCGAAGTCCCACTGAGCCGCTAAGTACCATCCAGTTTCCAACCTAAAACGTGCAGCTCAGTGTTTGCAGCAGAGTCCCAGAACCACCCACAACCAGCTCGAGAGCTTTCCTCCCCCCGAGAGAGAGGGAGCCCCTGCCACTGGCTCTGGACACCCTCCGCCCCGCTCCTGCCCCTGCTCCTGTTCCTGTTCCATCCCGCTGAGCTACTTTTTCTCCCTGGAGGCACCTGCTCCGGCTGAGGACTGTGTGGACGCGGCCCAGCGGGTGGTGACGAGGAGCCATCCAGAGCCGGCTTCCACCCAGCAGGAGTTCCTGAACCTATTGACAGCCTCTGCGGGGACTGGATGCCGACCTTGAAAATAGGCCCCGGGGGCCCCGGGGGCCATAGGCCTGGCACAGCAGACCGTGGTGGCTGATCTCCCTCACCCCGACGGTCAAGCCAAGCCTTCTCACGGGGAGGGGACTGGCTGACCATCACTTTCTCACTGCTCCAGCAACTCTGCAATCAGTTGTATTTTTTAAATTTATGTTTGCCTTTTTTTTTTTTTCAATTTCCTAGAGGGTGCTTGCACTTGCTGGAAAGAGGAGGAAAGTGAGAAACTACTCTCCAGGGGGGATGGCCACGCAGCAGTCCCTTCTCAATTTCCCTTTCAAAATTGTGAGCATGTATGCACGTGTGCACCACATGATTCTCAAGCTTCCAGGTCTGGGGCTTGAACTGCAAAGTCTGCCATGTGGGGTCCAGGGTCTGAACCTCCACACCACCTGCTGGCCTGCATTCCATTTTCCATGCCCTAGAATTCTCATAACATGCCCAGGCTAGACCCTCACACTCACAGGTTTTCAGGTTCGGAGTTAAAGGGATCGGCGTTGATTAACAAGCGGCTGATGACGGAGCCCCCCGGCAAGGAGCCAGACATCCCGGCCCGCACACCTGCAGGGAGACGAGAGCCGCCGCTGCTCAGAGTGATGGCCTTAAAGAAGCACGCATCTCCAAGGCTGCCAGACCCATGTACACAGAACACTCTCGTAACTAAACATTTCTGAACTAATACACAGACACGCCCTAGTTTTGACAATACCCAGAAAAAAATCAGTGTTTCGCTCCCTACGTGTGGAACAAAAATAACACCCATGAGACACCAAGAAAGATGGCTTCCCAAGAGTTCTCGTTCACCAAAGGTGCTCCCCACACAATCTCTCACAAACTCAGGTTTCAGTCCTGCGGCCTTCCAGGGCTAATTCCAGGAGGCACAACCGTGGGCAACTGATGCATTCTGGGACCAGGCTAGTACGAGGTCCAGAACCTCGCCCATCCCCACCCCAGCTCCAGGACCCCTCTCAGCCGCCTGGGTCCTGGCTGGTCCCGAGCTTTCCTGGCAGTCGCACAGATCTCAAATGCCACCTTCCCCGGATTCAGAAACTCTCCGAGGACAGGGCCCAGGGCTTCACTACTGCAGGCTTTGAAGCCAGGAAGCAGCGACACTCACTGGGGAACAGGATCTTGGAGTTCAGCGCGGGCAGGCCGTCCCGGCTTCCCGCCTGCGGAGGCAGAGAGGCAGAACTGCCCGGGGACAGGCCTTTGCCCAGGAGCTTCTCACACGGGGCCTTGGGTACTGCAACGACAGGACAGAGAGCCCTGAGACCTCGCAGCCAGACCTGCACGGAACACGGGTTCATCCAGGACACGGCCAGGAGGGCCGCCAGCCCCGGCCAGCTCTGTGTAACACTGAGAGACAAGGGCACCCCAGGTCAGGGGTCTGGGTTCACCAAGAGGGTGACCCAGGCTGCGATGGCGGGGAGGGACTGGCCCTAACCATGCTGGCCAAGGAGCCCCACACTTGGCCTGGCAGCACTCTGGGTTGGCGTTCTGATGGCCCAAGCAAAACCCTCCTGGAGCCCAGGGGGCTGGGGCGGGGCACCCTCACACGAGGAGCCTGGGGTCTGTCCTGGGAGGAGCAGGGGTGCCGTCACGGCCAGACAGTACCCCTCAGAGCAGCCTTGTGGTTCTGAGGACTGCAGCGGGGGAGATGAGGGCACGCCTCCTTGCTGAGGGGGAAGGAAGCTCGCTGGTCCTGTGTCTACACCCCCCAGTGCACAGGCAGGCAAAGCCTGGAAACCGGCCCCAGGCCTAAACTGTGACACGGTGAGGGCCAGGCAATTACAAGGCACCCAAGGGCTCCCAGGGAACCTGGCCCAGACCGAAGCTCTGACCGTGGCACTGCGGGGATGGGGCCTACCTTTGCGGAGGCTCCTCCCCTTGGGGACCCCACAGCTCTCGTTATGGGGTGGTGGACACACCCTGTTGTCCGCCTTCAGGTCCTTCCTCTCCTCCGACTCAGAGAGACCCAGGATGAAGCCCTCCTGCTCCTGGGTCTGGGCGTTCTGCTCGTCGACGGCTGCAGGGAGGGTGTCGGGGCTGCCCTCAGCTCCCAGCATCCAACCCCCAACCCCTGCGCCCCCTCCCAGGCCCGCACGGCTGGCTCAGCACCACCTGGGCTCACGGGCTGGGGAGGACACCAGAGGACAGAGGACGGGAGGCCGACGTGATGGAGGGGTAAGGCAGGTGTGGCGGAGACCTCCCTGGCCCTGAGCCGAGCAGCAGCCCGACTGCTCGGAGGGAGCCGGCGAAGGCACCGGTGCCGTGGTTTGGGGGGTAAGGGGGAGAGTGGTCCCTGGGGGGCGCTCCAGTGTGCGGTCCCCCGAGGGCGGCTGGGAGCAGTACCTCTCTCGGTGTGCTCGATGATCTGCCGGATGGCCTTCTTCAGGCTGTTGGCCCTCAGCATGAGCTGCTCCCGGGGACGGAAGAGCTGCGGCCGGGCCGGGCAGCTGGGCCCCACCGAGCGTGCTCCGCTGGAGCTACAAACACTGCCCGGCCCGTCTCCGTCCTCGGCCTCCTCGGCAATGGTGGGGGGCGGGTTGGGCAGAGAGGACGTGGCCTGGGACTCATCATCCAGGGTCTTGAGGAGAGAATCCAGCTTCTCTTTGAGGACGGAGCACTAGACGGGGAGACGCGGCGGCTCGGAGCAGGCCCTGCACTGGGCCGCCCCCCGCCCGGCCGGCACGCACCTTCCGGGCCATGACCTCCGATTCCTCTGAGCTCTCAGTCGTCTTCTCGTACGCCTTCCCCACCCGGGCCACGAAGTCCTTCACCGTCTCACAGAGCACTCTGGGAGGGAAAGGAAGGGCACCTGGAGGTGGCTGGGCTGGGGACCGAGTGCTGGGCCGGCCCGCCTCCCGGACCCCGCACTCACTTGGCCGACGAGATCACCACCGAGTGCTGGTCTGAGGTCAGGATCTTAGAGAGGTGGGCGGCGACCGAGTCTTCATAGCAGAGGATCTGCTGCACCTACAGGCCCCCCGACACAGGTGGGCACCGTGAGTCTGCATGACACCGGGTCACAGTGACTCGCCCACAGCCCTGCCTGTGCGGGTCGGCAAAGAAGCCCTCCTGACCACTGCCTCAGCCACGCCTCAGCTCAGGCCCAGCGCTCACCCATGGCAATACCCCGGGTAGCCAGAGCATCCGAGCCGGTCTGAGGTCCCAGGGCCTGCCGGGGCTGGGGCCTTGCTCTAACCCTTCCCCCCACAGGGTGTGGGGGGCAGGCAGGCACCCAGGACTCATGTTTACTGAGGGCATCCTACCTCCTGTCTGGCATTACCTGACTCTTCCTGCCGAGCGCTATCCTAGGGAGCTGTCTCGGCCCCAGCCCGGGGTCAGCACCTCACTCCTGCCAATCAGTGAGCATTTCCGTCTTAGCACATAGTTTCCTCTTTAAAAATTTCAGAATTGTACCAGCCACTCTCGGCTCGCAGGGCCAGGTCAAGGCGCCAGGCTGATCTGGCCTGTGGGCCTGACTTGCCCTCTGTGCCCCCTCACAGTGGGGCTGCCTGGGCAGAATCCAGCACACGGGCTGGGCATCGCACCAGGGCCGGATGTAGCCAGGGAGGGAGCGGCAGTAATGACGCCACAGACAGACGGAGCACGTGGCGTGGCGGTGGCTGCTGCCATGGAGGCAGGACTCGGCAGAGGCTTGGGCCTGGCAGGGCGAGGGGGCAGGAGTGGGGCATTCCAGGTACGGGGGAGCAACAGCAGCAGCGAAGGAGTGAGCGGACCTGGCAGGGCCCTGCAGAACTGATGATGCACCAAGGCCCCCCAAATCCTGACAACCCAGGAACCGAGTCCTCTGGGAAAGGGAAATGGAGCCCCTCGTCCAGTTCAGCTCCAGGGTAACTCCACCATCGCCTTCGCAAGAGCAGGAAGGCCTTGAACCTATGCAGGACGGCGAATCAGAAGCTGGGCACGGAGCGGCCTGGCATACCTCCGAGTCCTCGCTGAAGTCCTCAGTGACAGTGGAGGAGGAGGCCTGCCGCGGGAGCTTGGTCTCGTAGGCCATGACGCTCCACCTGCATACACAAGGTGGCGCTAGCCCTGCAGCCCATCAGCCAGCGGGCCCTGCACCCTCCCCTTCTGCGGCCAGGACCTGGATCTCCTGTACGTCCTTCCCCGGCTCTGTGCCCGTAGCATTGAAAGTGGGGGCACAGATCCCTCAGGGGCCACCCTGTAGGTAAGATGCCACCTCCTAGGGGCAGTCACCCTCCTTCAGACACTACTAGCTGCTCCGCTGGCGGGGGCACGCCAGGGGTGCCAAGCACGCAGAGCCTTCCTTTAACGGAGGTCCCCAAAGGGCATCTCTAAAGTGCCCCTGTGGTCAGAGTGCCAGAGCCCCAGGAATCATCCTCGAGACCCCCAATGCAGCGTGCGGGCAGCAGGCTTCGGGCCCCAGCCAGGTCTCAGAGCACTGATCAACGAGGGCGCTGCAGTGCCTCTGAGAACTGGGGTCAGCAACAGCCTAGAACTTGTCTATGGGAACGGGACACAGGAAATGGAACTGCTCCGACGTTGACCAGGGAGATGAGACCGGGGCTGAGACGGCCAAGGCCGCACAGCCGCCTTCGCAGCCCTGAGGCTCCTAGGGTGGCCTCGTGAGACGCCCCAACCAATGCTGGGCAGTTCTGAACCTGTGTGAGGCTGAGCGTTCCCAGAAGCCCCGAGCCCCGCTTCCGCCTGCGCAGGGGCCGCCACCCCGCACCCAGACCACTCACCTGTCCAGCATCTTGGTGCTGGCTCTCTCCAGCTTCTCCAAGATCTGGGGGAGCTGCGTGTCATCATCACAGGCCGAGCCCCAGCCCAGCACGCGAGCCAGGTCGTTCCCCGTGCCAAGGGGCAGCACCCCCAGCTGGCACTGACAGAAGACAGCGGGACACAGTCTACACCAGGAAGGGGACCTGCCGGCCGCCCTCCGCGGTGATGGCTAACTGACACAGGGAGGTTTGCCCATCCGCCCGGCAGACCCTGGGGAACACACCGGTCTCTACCACCAATGGGGCCTGGCTCAGCACTCACTCCCCACAGCCTCGCAGAGGCCGCCACGTTGTCACCATCAGCAAAAGGGACACACTGACCTGCAGTCCCCAAACACCCTCCCTTCCACGCTCACCACCCTGTCCACACCCCGTTGCCCACAATTGCCAACTCGCCCTCCCCAGGCACCCCCTGGGCACTTCTTGCCCATCCTCAGGAGGTTCTGAATACTACAACAAAACCAGAGCAGGGCCCAGGCCACAGCAAGGCTTGGTCCACCCCACCTGCACATCCCCAGGCCTGTCCCCAGGCACCACTCAGGTCTGGCCACCCAGTGGGACTCCAGTCACTACCTCCGCCAGGCTGCAGCCTCGAGGCCTTCCTGAAGACTGGCTGCCTGACCCTCCGTCTGAGGAGGCCTTGAGCCAGAGCCACACGGGGAGTGTCAAACTCCTTGAGCAGGACCACGCCCACGTGCCCTGTGCGCCCAGACCTGACTGAGGCCCTCCACAGTGCGGAGACAGCACACGACAGGAGGCCCCGCCTCACCTAGAGTCCCATCATACAGGTCATATAGTCAGCCAGGCAGGCACAGGAGGGAGTGAGCGCAGAGGAAGGGCATGCCAGGGCACCCCTGCAGGTGGCAGACAGTGAGGGACACAGCTGGGAAGGAGGGTCATAGCCCTGCATGCGGAGGGTGAAGGGGGCAGGGCACACAAGATGACAGCGCGGGGAGAGGCAGAGGAAGACGGGGTACAGAGGAAGTGGGGGGCAGAGAGGAAGACGGGAGTACAGAGAGGAAGGGGGCAGAGAAGAAGACAGGGGGCAGAGGGGAAGAAGAGAGTGCAGAGAAGAAGGGGGGCAGAGAGGAAGATGGGGGGCAGAAAAGAAGACAGGAATGTGCAGAGGAAGAAGGCACCAGAACTGGGCTCCGAAAGCCCCCGGGCTGGACTCCCCAGGAGGTGGACTCCCATCACTGTACTGGGGGAGGCAGTGGCAGGTTCTGAGCTGCTGCACTGGGCAGGGGGTCGCTGGGACAGGGGGAGGGACAGCAGGGCTGGACAGGTGGCAGGACGGAGTCTAGCCATTGCCAAAAGCAGGAGTCGGAGGAACCAGCACCGGCTGTCAGGGCTCTGGCTAGCACACTCGGCACCTGGGCCCCTGGACTCCCAGGGGAGGAGTGTGGCGAGGCCGGGGCTGGGCTGCAAACCGCAGCATCCCCAGGACGGAGCTGGCTGCACAGGCCTGGCAAGTGGCTGAGCTGCCCAAGGGAGAGCGGGGAGCACGAGGAGGGCCCGGCAAGGCTGACGACGCCATGCAGAGTCCACGGGACAGGCAGGGAGGGACGCAGAAGCCGCCACCCAGAAGACGCAGCCAGGGCCATGGGGAACAGACGTCCACTGAACTTGGCTGAACGAGAAGGTCAAGTCCCGGGCCTCTTCTAACAGCCAAGGTGAACGCCGAGGGGGTCTAACAGGACTCGAGGGGGTCTAACAGGACTCGGGGCTGGGGAGAGGGCACTGCACTTTCACCACTAGGGGGCACCCTTTCTCTTTCCTGAGCACCTGGCCTGGCCTCAGCCAGAGGATGCAGCCAAGAGGGCCCTACCCCACACCAGCGCCAACACCTGGGCTTGAGTTCAGTACTGAAGAGCCCACCCCACCTATGACACACAGAGTGGGCTGGGAGGGGAAGGATCCCTGGGAAGTACCCGCAAACCACATGGAAGATGTGACCCTGGCTTTATCAAGGACCGTAATAAACAGTGTAAGAAAACGCATATGATGAATGTTTTCCTGATTGGGTACAGCCGGGTCTCCCAATATGGCAGAAACAACAAAATTCATGGAGGAGTCCGCTTAAAAACCCCAAGTAAAAAAAAATGACAAAGTAGGGGGAAATACCTACAATGACAGATGTTGAATTACGTTACAGATAATCCTTAGAAACGGGCTTTAGAAAGAGGGCAGGAAGAAAATAAAAAGTGATTTATTCCCAGCCCCATGGTCGACTGAGATGTTTGACCTCACTAGTAATTAACAAGAGAGACTTCTCCAGGGTCAATTCTGGGGGCAGAACTAGGAAGATGAACACGGACTGGGAGGACAGTCTGGAGCCAGGAACGCACACTCCGGCCTGCTGGAGAGCGTCCCGTGATGCACGTCAGCACTTACACCTGGGTCTCCCCGAAGACCAGCAGTGGGAGGAGCACGGGCCGCAGTGTGGCCAGCTTTCCTGAGCGTCCACTGGCGAGCAGGCCCCAGCCAAGCGGGCACCTGGCTCCGTCCAGGGAAAGTGATCTCTCCGCTTTGTGCGCTGGTGTGGAGCGCGAGGTGCCCGTGACACACAGTTGAATTTTTATTTTTTACTTTATTTAACTTTGTTTGTTTATTTATTTTCATTTGACCAGAAAGGGACAGAGAGAAAGGGGAAGAGAGAGAGCAAGCAGCCAGGTCTGGGACTCAAACTGCAGTGGAGTACGTGAGAGTCCAGCACCGTAACCACCACACGCCTGCTAGCCCCACGTGGTTGATTTCTAAAGGCAGTAACAGGACAGCACAAGCACATGACAGATGTCAGAGAGACGCTACCAAAATGCTGGCAATGGCTACCTGCGGAGAGGGAGAGCAGGGAGCCGGCACTGTCCCTTTTTATGATCGGGACCTACTGCTCTTTATCAGGACGTACTGTTACTCTAACACCAAGAACAAAACTCACGCGCACAAGCCCAAGTCCAGGAAACCACATCTGACTCGAACGTTCAAGCGCATCTCCATGCCCCTCACGAGCAAGGGCACCAAGCAGTAATTTCACGGCCCGATAAAGAGCTGGCAGGAGTGGGAAGTGCAGACAGGCCTGCCCAAGCTGCCCCGGCCAGACCTCTGGCGTTTCTCTACAGTGACTGTCCGTGTGCCATGGCCGGAGCCCCAGGGCTCCATGGTGTCATCAGGCTGCCCGCGCTTTTCTCCTCCCTAGCCACCACCTGGGAGCAGGCATGCCACAAGGGGACGGAGTTAACATGGCATGACCTCTAGCCTTGACCCCTGTCCTGGGCTGGGCTCCCGGGAGTCCAGGTACCTGTTTATGTAGATTGAGGCTGTCGATTTCAGAGAGGACCCAGCCGACACTGCCATCTCCACCACAGACCAGAATCCGGAACGTGTCAAACTTCTGGAATAATCGTAAGCTGCGGAGAAATGAAGTGACATGTACTCAACAGGAAGAATGCAGGGCTGGGCAGTCCTGGGCGAGGGCCGACTGCTCCTCACTGCCCAGCCCTACACTGGAGGCCATGCCCGGGGGTGCTGGCTCTGCACGGCCCTGGCTGTCTGATGGCTCCCCACTCAGGGCCCACTGTGTCAAGGCTGCCCCTCCAACCTGGGCCAAGACCCACTCAGAGTAGTCCCAGCACGAGGACCTAGGGATCTTTGGTGGACACCAGATCCTGCGGGGCTTCACGGGTGCAGCCTTCCTCAGCCAGCCAAGCCCAGGTGCCCATGCAAGACCCACCTCCACCTCCGTACTGCACTGTCCCTGCCATCCTTCCCACCATGCCCTCTGGGCTGCCTTGCACCCTTAGCCTTGGCACTGTGTACCCCCAGGTGCTAGTCAGCTGTCTGACCCAGCACTGCACTCCAAGTGCCCAGAGGAACCCCCCCACCATCGAAGCACTAGCCCCTCTGAAATGCTGGCTCGGCAGACACTGAGACCTAGTCTGGTTTGTAAGCCTCGCTCTCTGGGTTCCCCAAGAGAATGTCCATTACCCCTGAAGTAACCGCCACTGGGCTCACCAGCCCCACCTTGTTCTGTGGCTCTGACTACAAATCGTGCAGTTGTGCACACAGGCCAGAACGGGGACTCCATCACTCTCAAGTTCCAACACACACCCTGGCGAAGCCATTAGAAAGCCATCATCAGCCTCCCTGGCACCTGTGCCTGCTCAGTGCAGCATGACGAGGCAGGTATGAGACCCCCCCCCCCCCCGCGCTCCGGGCGCGCCCC